CGCCGGCACAATGGGCGCTCCCCGGGGAGCAGGTGGGCCGCGCGGCACAATGTCCGGGCTGTGGGAACGCGCTCGCCCTCATTAGCATCCGGGCCTGATGCTGGGAGCCCCGCGCCTCAATATGCTGCCTTTTCCCAGGCCGCGGGGACGAGGGGGGCAGGAAGGCGCCGCCCCTCCCCTGCTCCCTTTTCTCCCCGCTCCTCCCCCTCCCCGGGGACTTCCAGAGCCTATAAGGGAAAAGCTTTCGAATGAAGAAATGCAGAGGCTTCCAGGGGCACGGGCAACCCCCTAACAGGGACCTGCCGCTTCCCCAGGGGTGGAGGGCTGGAGCAGGCCGCCCTTCACCTGCACAGGCGCCTCCATCTCCCTGTGCACAGGTGGAAGACCGGCTGTGCTTTTAGGATCAGACCTAGTGGCCTATGTGGCAAGTTCCCAGATGCCACCTGGGACACAGGACTTCTCCAGAACTAGAAAGCAGGCTGCCATGCCTCCCAGCTGAGCTTTGCATAGCTTTAGGGAGCCAGGGTATGTGAGCTGCCCAGCACCGAGCCCCACACCTAGGCAGCCCCCCAACCACTGTACCTAGAGAGCAACTTATCAGGCAGTAGCATCTGGGGTGCTCTGAACCAGCAGGCGCCCCTGCGACCCCCCCCCGCCCCCGCCATCGGGCGGGAGTCTGACCGTGGCTGTCCACGAGCACAGACATGGTCACTGCTCACGCACACTGTCCCCCACACAGCCTGGTGGGCACTCGTAGGCTTTGCTTTCTTTGGGCATTTTGCCAGTGGCGGTGGGGGTGCCAGGTGGCAGACACAGGGTCAGAACAGGATGGGCCTGGCGCCCACACAGAGGCTGCGCCAGCTCAGACTGGCCCCCTAGAGACCCAGCAGAAAAACCGATAATCCTGGTACCTGGCCAGCTGAGGGTCAGTGACTCCTTAGGGGCCACCAGCCCCGCTCTGGGCCCCTGGGAGAGGGCCGGCTGGGGTCCCGCTCCAGCCAGCACAGTCAGCTTCCTCTGGTTCTCTGCAGTTAGGGATCTAGTGGTCCCACAGGGAGGCCGCAGGCCTCGGGTTACCTCCAAGGGGCAGGGCGGGACCCAGCCAGGTCCCGGGGAAGGCAGGGCCTCTTCGTGGGGAGAGCTGGCTGGCATTAGGGCACTTTAGTCAGGGTCTACATCCAATGGCAGCCCATCCGGGTGTGGCTGGGAACAGAGGTCCAGTCACACCCTTCCCGCAGGCCTGGCAGCGACCCACAGCTGTGAGCAGAAGTCCCCCCATCACATACCAGGAGCCTTTGGGGACCCAGTGAAGGGCCCATCTGGGAAGCAGGCAGGACGGTGTCAGGACAGCCAGGGAAGGCGGCCAGTGCAGAATGGCCCTGTGGGCCAGCTGGTCACCTGCCAGGATGGGCCAGGCCGGGGGCTCCCAGGGTGCAAGCTTCAGATGGCTTTGGAGGGGGAGAGAAGGCAGCCTCTCTCCACGCTCCAGTAACTGATCCGCCCGCTCCCCAATTACACCTCTCTTGAAGTGGACACAGGCCTCTGGGAGGTGGGTGACACTGAGGGCCGAGGTGGCCTCCCCGTGAGCTGGGGCTCCTCTCTGGGCAGATGGGACCTTACTGCACATTTTTGGGCCTTTGGTCAATGGAAAAGGGCAGAAGGCCCCAGGGGACAAGCCGGGGACGGGCCGCCGAGGCCGCGTGCTCACCGCTCTGCTCCGCGGCCTGGAGCACCTACACTGGCTGGCACATCGGCACGGGCGGAGGGTCCTGTGGGCTGCAGTGGTGACCGGTGCTCCTCAGTGGAGCCATTTTTGCACCCAAAGCGGGGCTCGTGATGGGTGTGTCCTTGACCTGGTTACGGGTTCCCCGGTGGTGCAGTGGGTGCGGGGAGGGTAGGGTGACTTAGTTGCCTGTGTTCTCATCGCCCACATCCTTCCTACCCGTCGGGGGCCAACATCAAGGAGGTGCTGAGCCAAGGGCTGAGGAGGTGCAGGAACAGGGCAGCCCCGCGCCCACTTGGACCCTGACGGTGGCTGACTGGAGAGGGCTTGACCCCATGTGCACCCTGACCACCTGGCCGTTGGCAGAGGGAGCCCCGGGCTCTGCCCAGAAGTGAGGGCAGCACCCAGGCGGCACCCCCCATCCCCCATGCTTTAGAGGGGGCAGTTGGCTGGGGCTCGTGTCCTGCCCTGGCCCCCGCCCCCAGGCCAGCCTGCATGAGACACGTGCGGTGAGACGTGGTCCCGTCCCCACTCCATCCCCACTGCCCGCCCACCCGCAATAGGCCAGGGTGGCTGGCACAAGGTGAGGGTGGTGGGTGGGCCCTGGCGAGTCTGCCTCCTCCCTTCCCCGCTCTCCTCCTGGGCCAGAGCAGCTTTGATCCAATTTTCAGTTGTGGGAAATATGAAATGGATGGTGTCAAACCCCTGCCTGCCTGATGAAAGGCTCACTCCCTCCCCCAGTGCAGGCCAGATGGCAATTCGGGCCTCTGAGGCACACGCCTGGCCTTTGTGGGCCGTTTAACACCGTGAATGGGGCCGAAGTGTGGGAAACTCGCTGGGCCGCCGGCCCGCAGCATCGGAGCTGAGCGGCCACACCGCCCGGGGAGGGCCTGGGAGGGGGAGGGGCAGAGCAGGCCGAAGGTCGCTCTAGGCCGGAGGTTTTGTGTGTGGGGTCGGGTCCTCATCCTTGGCTGCCCACAGCATCTGGGGAGGGGTCCTTCCTCCAGCTGGGGCTCCAAGGATGAGGGAAGTTTGTCCTGTCCACTCCCTCCCTGCCCCCAGAGCTCAGTAAGCCTAAGAGGCTGGCAGTTGGGGGCGGAGTGTCTGGAGTGGCTGCTCCCCTAGAAACGGCCATCGCGGTGAGGCACCCTGCTGTGGATGTGGGGCTGCAGGCAAAACTCACGAGGGGCATCACTGTGGTAGGATTCAGGAATCCAGGACCGCAGCCCGTCCGTGAATGGCCCCCACTGCCTGCACCACCCCCTCCCCGCAGACCCACAGGGCCCCACGCAGGGCTGGCACTGGCTTCAGGAGCCAAAGGAGGGCTTCTTGGGACTGCAAGTGGTGCGGCCACTGGGGACACAGCCTGGCAGTCCCTCAAAAATGGAACAGAATGACCACGGGGTCCAGCGATTCCACCTCTGAGTGTGTCTCTGAAAGACTCAAAAACAGTGTCTCCAAGAGATGTGTGCACCCCCACGTCCCCAGCAGTGTCACTCACAGTCACCAAGAGGTGGCGACAACCCTGGTGTCCGTGGACAGATGGACGGATGAGCACAGTGGGTCCATCCACTCGGCGGAATGTCACTCAGCCCCCAAAAGGAAGGACAGCCTGACACCTGCCACAGCTTGGATGGACCTTGAGGACAGTGTGCTGAGTGAAGTAAGCCAGCCACAATTTTTAACAAAGGAGGACTTCCTGGAGAGCCACATCCCCCCCACCCTCCTCCCAGGCTGCGCACCCCCTACTGCCCTCCCCACAGGCAGCTGCAGCCTCTAACCGCCATTGGCACGGGGACTTCCCAGTGCCTTGTGTAGGCAGGACTCACCTGAAGGAGACACTGCTATACCCAGCCTGCCTCTACCTAGATCCTCACCGCCACCCCCCACCCGGCCTGGGATGAGACTCTCGGGACAGGACTGTGCCATCTGCAGGGGCCTCCGAAGCAGCAGGCCACCCCCAATTTGGGTGACCCTGGTCCCAAGGGCCCCCAAGCCCGGGCGTGGGGAGTAGGCAGGCTGAAGAGGGTCAGGAGCGAGGCTGGCCTTCTGGGGAAGGAGGGGCAGGGGTGCCCCCCAGTGGCACGCACCCACATCCAGGGTCACCACCTGGACCTCAGGTGGTGTGCCCGGCACGGACAGAGATGGGACCTCTGGAGTCGTTTGATGCCCTGCGCCGTCCGTACACAGCGCTGGCCCCCTCCCCCCACCCTCCAGTGGCTCCTGGCGGGGCCCTAGGTAACCCCTCGTCACCAGCCAGTCATTTTGAGCATCTGCTCAGCACCAGGCAGGGGACAAACAATGGACTTCTTAAAACAGCCCTGCAAGGGAGTGTCCCTGTCCCCACTTGACAGATGAGGAAACAGAGGGTCACAGAGGTTAAATGACCGGGCCAGGGCCCTGTGTACGGGAAGGCCGGCCCGGCGATGATGGCGATGCGGACTCTGCTTCTGAGCATTCCTTAGGCACGAGGTGGGGCTCAGCGCTCACTCATGGACGGGTGTGGGCTTTAGGACGAAGCCGTAAAGTGGCAGTAGTTTTTGGTCCCTTCCCCTGACAGTCCCTGGGGCACAGAGAGGTTGCCGCAGCCACTGGGAGGGTGAGAGCTGGACCTGGGTCCCCAGGAGGGCCGGGGG